GGCCCCAATGTGGTGTGTTGATTCCGTTGCAGGTTCAGTTTATTCGGCTTCTTTTTCATGGGGCCGACCATATATGTGTGGATCAGATTGGCGGGCGTCATGTGGCCGCGCACCGACATTAAGTCATCGTTCTGCAAGGCGATCACCGAGCAGACCGCATACGATCCGATGGCCATCAGCTCGTTCCTCTTCTTCATGACCTTGATGGAGGGCAACTCGTACGCGGAGGCCAGACGGGAGGTAATGCCAATCGACATTTATCTGGGGCTTGGGTTCCCACTGCACAGAACATTATTTATTTAAGCAGTCAGCATAAGTCTATCGGGATCTTAGCGAACAACACAGAATCGCAGAAATTGTTGGCATTTTGAAACTTAATATGTTTTGAGAAGATGACACAAAATGACAGCCCATTACCCATCCCATTTTCCAATCAATATCTGTTTTAAGTTTATAGTTTTAAACAACTTCAAACTAGGTCGAAAACCAACTATGTTACTAATTTCACCCGTTACTCGTAGACTAAATCATATTTGTTATGGTACACAAATGTTCTGGTCTTCCGATCTCATAAAGTCTTTCCGTCTATTATTTTTAATGTGATTTAATTGAACAATGAATTTTTTTTAAACACGAAAAGTGAGATTTTAATGTGATCATCGTAACAAACAAATTTATATTTTTTCGGTATAAATGCAACTTTGTAATTCCAAAGCTATCCCTTCTAGTGGTTCATTTATAGTATGATCTAGCTTGTAACTTTTCAACTAATATTTGTCTGCAGCCTCGTTATTATCTTATATGTATCAGATGTGCTCATTACTCTGTGACCAGTTTGTGTTTACTTGGAAATGGGGTCTCCGATTTCCATCGGCTTCTTGCACCCATTTCGGTGTGTTGCTATTGATTTCGGAAATCCATTTTCTCACGACACATTCAGACAGTCGCCGAGGCAGTCTCTCTATCTCTGTGTCTGTATCTATGAATCTGCATCTGCGACTGAGGCCGTAATGTAAGCATGCATAAATATCACCTGTCTGTCGCTCACCTCCATCCATTCCCAACTTCGGCGGCTGGTCATCCGTTCCGAGTTGTCAGCATTGATTTGTTGGCTCTGCGGCCATACTTCGAGATACTTGGGGGCACTTTGGCTCCAGGGCCGAGTTCGGTTCGATGGCTGACTTCCATTCCATATCATTAGAAACCATTTATCTTGATAAATGTAAATGTTTTACCATATATTTGTGTCAAACGTGCGTCGTCTCATTTGCTTTGCATGCGTTTCCCAAAGATCTATGGCCTGAGATGCCTGAGCGATGCGATCGACTCTGCTTTTGGCCGTAAAAGAGTTATGTGCGAGACTGATGGAGACGTTGCTCTCTGATCCTCAGTTAAAAATGCTCAACTGGAAGCGAGTCTAATGCAAAACAAAACTATGCACGTACAAATGATACAAAATCGAAAAACTTAAGATTTAAAAACCGAAACATATCTGACTTGGTATTACATTAAATTATTATATAATAAAATGTAATAATATAAATAGAGTTCTTATATTTTATATATATTGAATAAGTAAAAACAAATAGTGCTAATAGTCTGAACGGTATTTAAATGTATTTGAATTGCAAATTTGATGGAACTTGCAAAAGCTTAGCTTTTCCATTTATTTCTTTCGATTTGTTTTTGTTGAATATTATTTATTAACATCCGTTTTCTTATCCACACGTCAAAACAAACTGTCGAAAATATATAAACCGATATGCAATTTATGTGGCTCGGATAACGAAAGCGTTTTATTTATTTAATACAAAAGCTTTCTCTTAAATTAGATTAACTCCAGACTTATTAGCCATCTTTTGACAATTTTCCATTAGAATGTTCACGCGAGTGGATAGTTGTGCACACATAGGTGGTAAATCAATAGATAATTGACAAACTTCGACTGTCTTTTTATATCGGATACACATTCATTCGTCCAGTTTGGGCCATCCCGATAGCTGTTGCTGCCCTGCGTTGCCTTTTAATTAACAACATTAACCAAATGCCACGCCCCAGTCTAGCGGCCGAGAAAAGGGGGAGGGAAATCAAGCAATAATTAAAATTTTAAACGTCTCCTACCGCCACTGGCCAGACGGCACTTAATTACAATTTTCCGCGCTGGCATTTTCCGACTCCCCCGCTGCTGGGCGCATTATGTCACTGCACTCACCCCCCGATCTCCCCTTTCCCCCTCTCGTTCCCAGGTCAGCGATAAATTCCTGGACGCCTACAAGGTGGGCGTTATTTATTGGCCCTGCGTGCAGACGGTGAACTTCGCCTTCGTGCCGGCGCGGAACCAGGTCATATTCACCTCCTTCTTCAGCATGTGCTGGACCACCTTCCTGGCCTACGTCAAGTTCCTCCAGCTGCATCCTCCCGTGGATGTGGACCACCACGCCATGGACATCCACTTCCTGGAGTTGTGAATCCGAATCGAATCCGCAACCAGCTACCAATTAATGTGATTGCACCAGAGACAAGCCCCTTGGCCAGAGTTAATGACATGTCACTTCTTTGTATAGGTATTTTTTGTGGGCCGTGAGCATTGTATAAATATATGTGTACGCCCATTCATTTTGGCTGATAAATAAGTTGTGATAAGATTGTAGTTGCTGTTTTTTTTCCTCAGTATTAAATTGAAATTGGGCGTTGTTGTCAGTTTCGTTTTAGAATCTCATGGGAATTGAAATAATAATGGGAATGTCCAACAACTGAGATAAATCCAGGAATTGGGTTTTTAATATTTTAAGCCACGATTGCGCCTCAAAGCTTACTAAAAATCTAAAAATTGATGGAATTCTTTGGCCAGTCAAACAAACTGTGACACAAAATGTTGACTTCAGGCGACCTGTATCAGCATTTATCAAAATTATTTTTATTATATGTGCGCTTCTTTTGGCCTGGGGAATTGGGTTCCATTAACTGTATATGTACATAACATCTATGCGTATTATATAAACGAAAGTATCTATGTATATTTGTGTATCTGTGGGTTCGTTGAAGTGGAACCGCTAAGTGGTCGTGCTGAATGCGAGAACTGAATGCATAAATAATTCCGATTTAGATTATTCTGAAACAGAAACATCATCGCCGAAGTGTGGTCTGCATTGGGATATTCGCAGTCGGATTTGGATTTGGGCAAAAATGCCAGGGAACAGAACGCAGACGATGACGAGGCCATAATCAGGGGAATTAATATGGAAATGTATGCAGAGCAAAAAACGAAACCGCAAGAGTAAGCGCAGAACACCGAACTCAACCCAAGACCAATCCAAAACCAAAATCCGAACGCATGTGGGTTTTGTTATCAGTGCGAGAAACGTGGCGAACTTCCTGCCCAAAAGGGGTGTTTGTGCTGCACAGAGAAAATATAATGATAAGCTTAGCTTATTTATGTTCAATTGGATAGCAATATTAACACGTAGCGTTCCTTGGCTCATTAATCATAATTTTATTTAATTTTACATGTAAAGTTTAGCTAGAGAAACTGTTTTTATTTAACTGAAAATTACAGTAACAGTTTATATTGCCATATTTATAAATCTAAGACCATATTTAATTTAATGCTTTCCATTTTAATTCTCTCAAATAAATAATATTATTTTGTAAACTATAACATTATCGAAATAACTTCGATGCATAATGTTTATTTGTATTTATTTACAAGAAAGGGGTTGAAAATGAAAGCTTTTAGCAGAATTTTTGGCTACAATTTAAAAAATTTTTGATCATATTTTTAGAAAACCAAACCACATCCCTTAAACCTTATTTATGTTCCATAACTGCAGGGATCGTGCTCTTACTTTTCTCCGTGTACCTGAGCTGTGAAAAAGCAATTGAAACAAGAGTTTCATTTAATTCTGCGTCGGCTGGCAGGCCAATTTCCTATCCGCCCAGCGCCCATTGCTCAGTGTCTTGCCGGGTCTTTATGTTGCTGTTTTATAGCGCATTAATTTCGAAAGTAGCGCTACGTGTGCCAAAAATCATTAGCAACGGAATTACGCTCAATGAAATGCAGTCGGCGTCGCCGGCAAACAAAAGCCGACCAAGGGGAGATAATAAAGCGTGGCCAGGCCGGTCCTCCGTCGATTGCGAGTTGATGTCGATGCCGGAACGGGGGAACCCGGGAATGGCCACGGAGTGGGAAAGGCCCTGGGACGGCGTCGGGGAAAAGGTGGAAAGTGGAAGCCGAAGGGAGAGGGGGAACGGGAACTGAAAAGTCGACAGCCGCCAGTCGGCAGCCGCTTGACGTTGGCGTTTGTGCTGCTTATAAATTTACCCTAACGACAAGTTAAATGCTGAATACGAAATGTTGCAGAGGAAGGGTTCCCATTCCGAAACCCTCCGAGACACTCGAATACAAGCCGGCGAATTTGCCGCCAAGATGAGGCCCTAATGGGCTTACTGTTGAAATTTAAAAATACAACATGTCATTACAGGAATACAGGCTACAATTCTTATTAAACCAAGAAAAGTTAAGGTAAAGCTTAAGTCATAATAATATAGTTTAATAAGTTCAATTACTTAAAAAACGAACTTGAGCATAACTTTTTATTTTCATTAAACCCTTTGTCTTTAGAATGTATTTAATAATGCAATAAGTTCGCTCTAAGAACCCTATCCTTATTGCCTTTCCTTTATTTATATTATAAAATACATTATTAAATTTTTAATTGGCTTATATTAAAAAACTAAGGTATTTCTTTATTGAAGGAATTTAATAAATTTAGCCTAATCAGTAGCTAAATTTGGAAAAACAGCCAACATGCTGTCCATCCGAATCTAGTTTGCATCGATGTTCGCAGAGCTGGTAATCTTATCACTGGGGAATAAACCATTATCAGATAATAGGCGGAACTAATTCGCCTAATGAAATTATGCAAATGGCGTAAGCAGTCAGTTCTATTTTGGCACGGCAGGTGCGAGCACAGCACATTGTTGTAAACATACATGTTAGTATGTTCAAGTCGAAGTCCTTTGATTTGGTCAGTGAGGAAAAGAGTAAGCAACCAGAGCGGCTGTATCAGCCGCGTCGGATGCGATGGCTAAAATACATCATCCTGCCGGCAGTTTTTTCATTTGCCCTTCTGCTGATCCTGGTCAATGTGGATTTCTCCGATAACGCCACCGAAGTGATCTCTAATTCAACGGATCTGGGAAATGAACACGAGTCGCATTACACCAAGAACAAGTGTCGCTTCAAATATGAGACATTAATCCTTATATGTAATTACGAATTTAAAAATAACACTCTTGAAAAAAACTTTTTTTGCGGCAGATCCGTACTGCAAAACTTCACCATCGAAAACAGCACTATTAATCATATAGCCGATGCAACTTTTGATCAAAATCGCACTCGTAGCTTGCTGAGCCTGCAATTAATTAATGTGCAACTGGAGAGTCTTACACAATCAGCCTTACAGGGTCTTCAAAAGCTTCAAAACTTTACCCTAATCAATGGGAATAGCGCTTTCAAGCCGCTGGGATTTCTTTCTGCTGTGTCTGAAACTGTATGCAATGCCAGAATACACCAGCAATACTCCACGGAAATAGAGTATTCAATCAGTGACTTCTTGGGACCCCGGAATTTCTCTCAGTTAAAATGGTTGGATCTGAGTGGAACCAACATCGGAGAGACTCTTAGTGAGGATTCTTTTGATAATCTGCCTGCTCTAGAAGAACTCATCCTAAAAGGCAGTGGCTTACACCAAATTGAGTGGGACTTCTTACCCTCAGGGCTTAAATTATTACCACAGCCGGAAATATTTAGTTATACAGCTGAGACAACCATTAATGAGGAGGAGCATACCACAGTCCAAGCTATAGGAGCCTTTGCTCCTCAAGTAGTGGGTACCCCGACCACTTCACCGACAACAGTTTCAAACCAATCAACAACACCTCTCTACACAGAGGAAACCACGATTGATGAATCTATGAACTGCGACGAGAATTCTTGTCAAGATCTGATATGCACTTATTTGGCTCCTAACTCATCGACTGGATCTTTAGAACAGGAGAGTTCGACTGAATGTGGAGATGGTGTACTAGTGGAGATATGCGAATCGGTTTGCATCACACCCTTCTATTACTGTATGATTCTGGGCGATAACTTTACTTCCTCGATTAACTGCTGTTCTAATAAAACCACAAGATGTGTGCTTTCTACAGAAGTGTCGGGGTGCGAGACCAATAGCGACCTCGTTATTGGATTGGGAGTGGGTCTCTTTTTTGTTGGCATCCTCCTCGGGGTGGCCATCGTTTACCTAACGCTCCGATGGAAGCCCTCCTGGTTGAGTGCCAGTGAACGTCCTGAGTACAACACCGTGGGCCTGATTCCCCGGAAATCTGAAAAGGACACGTACGACAATAAAGGGTAAGTCTTCAATAAAATATAGATTTCTTACAAATATAATTATGTACTTAAATACAACATAAACATTTGATGAGGGCAGATCCCAATTCATTTTATTATTAGAAGGTACTTTATTTTCTAATTTACAAAACACTAAAATATTTTGATAAAAGCCATAAGTTTATCAATCTTTCTCACTTCCGACTAGGGCCCCGATTTCGACTCTCGACAATAACGAATATATCACCGCCTATCACCGTTACCTCGAGCAGGCGAATCACCTCCCCACGGAGTCCAACAAATATATCAGTCCGCCCAGGGATCGGGCTCCTTCTGTCCCGCCGTCGAGCACCTACCACCTCCCCTTGCCACTCCCACTCCCGGAACGAAATAACTACATATACGAGAGCTGTGAGGTGTACGAGGAACTTCCATAGACAAACACGCATATTTATTGATAGAGATTAGATTTGGAAATTGTTCATCGTTCGGGGTAGCAGACTTAAATTAATTATTTAACTATTGTACCTATTAGCCACACTAATTTGATGAAAAAATCTCCTCTCCAATTTTGTTATTTCAGTCCTTAAATCCTAATCATAAAACTATGTAAAATTAGACTTTCTTTCATGCAATAACTTGGAGCAAAGTTAAAACACCGAATAAACAAGATAATTATTCTACATAATATATGCCATATGCGAATAGTAATTATTAAGCAGCACTATATATGACGATTAAAGCAGTATCAGTATATCTTCATTGGTCTGCCAAAATAAATTTCAATGGGACAAAGCGAAAAGAAACTGAAAAATATCTGAATTTTGTAAAGGATGAGTTATGAGCCTCTCACAGCGGAGGATGATGACATACCCAATCCTACTTGTTTGTTCTGCCTTGCATCTTCTAATAGAACACGGCCCCTTGTCTGGATTCTGTGGAAGTTTGCACAGTTCAATGCTTTTATTTAGCTTTAATGAGCTCCAGTTGGCGAAGAGGGCAAAAAAAACTCCATCTGAATGCGCCCCATTGTGGAAACGGCTTTCATCCCGGCACTTGCCCTTCCGTGGGACCTAGAGATGTGCTCTTAGTGCACAGTTTGTTGACTTGCCACATGCACAATAAAATATTTTTGTAAGCACTTTTTATGGCTGACATATCTTTTAATATTCCTACACACTCACACAGGGATCTTTTTTGCGAGCGTTTTGCCAATTTATTTGTGTCCCCCGTTCCAGTTTGGATATTTGTTTTTTCGTTTTTTTTGGTGCCCTGCAGGCTGTCGCTGCCATAATTTCCCAGGCACATCCCCATCCCCCGCAATGGAGAAAGAGACGGGGCATCGCCGGGCGAGAGAGACGGGTAGCAGGGGCGCTGTCAAAGTCCGGCCAAGTCTCTCGGCCATATGTTGCACACATTATGCTTACTTAACAATTAGAGACGCTCTTGTAATTCCACAAAATTGCTTTGTTCGCCTGGATTTTTTTCGCTCCGGGGAAGGCGGGCGACTTCTGGGGAGGCACTGTACCACGAGTATACTGTGGAATGGGTGTGGAATGGGAAGGAAGTGCCGCAGAGTGGCTTTTGTGCTTCTGCTTTTCAGAGCTCTTTGGTCACTGAGCTGTGAATCGTTATGAGCTTTAAATCCGAGGAAAATGCTTTGATAACCAGGCTGTTGTGTGTGGGAACCGAAACTAGTTAGGGGTGACGCCAAGGGGAAGCTAAGAACAACCTGAATTTCCCGAAACCCCAACACACCAATCTTTTGCAGCTCGAAGAAATGGAAGTAATAAGATAATGTTTTTTTATAATAAACCAGTAAGTATATAAGCGCCCATAAAATAACCAGCACTCCGCTCTTCATAATATTTTACGAGGTGATTTTCATCAAAATAATATGAGGAATTAACAAGCAGTGGTGCTGAATTTTTTCTGAAAAATATCAAAACTACTTTGAAATACCTTCATTTTTGACATTTGGTGGTAAAAATCTTTGGAAAATAAAATAGTAAAATTATCATTTCGAAAAATCAACCCCCTATTCTTAAAAATATGATAGATCGCTTTGTCAGAAAACCTAAAACATATTATTTGTTTATTTAAATCACATTATCCCTAGTAGTAAAGAATATTTAAATTGAATGAAATTTAAAACGCCGTATTTTTAGAACAGATAAATGTGTAATGTTTGATATTTTGAAATTCCTCCTGGTTCTTTTACTAATATTTATTATATCTATTGCTTTTAAAGTGTGATATACACAGTGTCTAGTGCTTTACCTAGACCCTGAACACGGGACTGAAGTGCTACATTATATAATAAAATCCAACGACCATCATCGGGTAAATAATTTAAACTCTTGTCAGTTCTTGTCTCTTGATTAAGTCACAAAAACTATTCCATTATGCGATTAGATCGTCATTCATAATCAAGAACGTCATTCAAGTGCAGAACACTACATTCCCAGAAGACGAAACCCTATACACCAACCCCCAGTGTACACTTCACTGGTGATGAAGAGAAAAGACCTGGATTCCTATTATCTCAAGTGTGAGATGAGGGAAACCCTAGACGAAGTCACAGCCAACTGCATCTGGGCAGTCCCACATGTGGGCAAATGGATCGATAACGATGCGAGTATCTGTCGCGATTGATATTAATGATTGGCCGCAAATGCCATTAGACTGTTTTCTACCTTTCCATCACGCCGAACATGATAACTCAGCGTGAAGAGCCGGAAAACTAGAAAAACACTCCGATTGCATGGCCGGAGCGGAGGCGTTGCTCCAGAGAGATATATCTACCCTCGCAGGGAAGCCCCATTGTTCGACGCCCGTCGAAATCAAAGACCCTTTGCCCATTTCCCATTTCCCATTTAGCATTTCCCCGCTGATAACGGACACGAACCAACGGCCTCGTAACGTGGCATTTGTTTAATGGATTAAAAATAATAGGTACGAGGGAAGAGCGGAAAAGCCGACTGGGTGCTGATAAAAATCGTAGCACGTTTTGTATGCGCATGGAAAATGGAAAATGTGCCGCGGCGTGTCATAAATTAATTTTTGTAAATTCTGCAGCTTGTCTGATTCGGTTACGGATCGGTATCGGCTTTAGCCAGGCCCCGAGAAAAGGGATTCTTATTAATAATAATAATGCCACACGGCTTTGATGGACAGACAAAGGATTTTCTCGGACGGAGTGGGCTCACGGATGCGGATGCGAAACCACTTTCATTTCGAGGCTTCGAGGGTTGAAAGCCTTTCAGCTGCGGTTGGCAGGCGGAGAAGCTTTTAAAAAATTATGCAAAAATCATGATTAGGCAATTTCCCGATGCTGGAGTCTGGTTTTTGTCTCCCGGCTGCTAATTAGCCATTCATGGAGTGTAGTGAGCCTGCCTGGGGAATATTTAAACAGTTGGCTGGTTCCCAGAAAACGGCGGCGGCAAAAGTTTAATTAGTCCGGCGAATGAATGTGCCTTATGAATATGAAATCCGCACACAAATCTATTCAGACCCGATCAGACGCTCTCGTATCCTTGAGACTTCAGTTCAGTTCGGCTGAGTTGAGCTGCGACTAATGAGCCCGAGCAGAAATGCTGCGCAGCAATACAAAAACAGCACACAAAATGTAGCAATTATGGGGCGGGACGGAGAAAAACTCACATTAATGACAAAAGCCAGAAAGTACTCGGCGCATGAGGAGAGGCTGCTTAAGACCCGCAACAAACGAGGGGCACTTAAAAGATGAAACATAAAACGGAGCCCCAGAAGCCCATAAAAAACACATTGTGCCCGGGCCGCACTTGAAAGGCAACTTCTTACCATACCAGGTCGACTTGTACCTCCTCAACACTGAGAAACAGGTCTTAGTAAATTGTACAAGCTTTGTGATAAAAATCATTCAACTTACAACTGGTTGGCAGTTGGAGTGCTGGGAGTCCTTAAATATCAGGTCAATTGATGGCATCCTTTAAAATGCAATTTAAAGCAATTAGATATTTTATTCAACTAATTGGATTTTAATTGTTAATTTGGTTACTATTAGAAGTTAGATGTGAATGTTTTTAGCGATTAGCTCACTTGTTTAAAATAAATGCTTAAAAGTATATACTTCTTAAGTATTATCGAAAATCACACCCAAATATAGATCCAAGTAGCTGCCATAGCCTCTAATTCTAATTCTCTAAATAATTCCTTATTTTAATTAGCTCTTATATAAATCATTGAATACCAAACTTGACGAATTTAAGTGTAGCTCGAAAAAATGTTTTAGATTGAATTTAAGAAAAACAGGAAAGAAACCTTAGGAAACTTTTTAAAGTTGTTTTTGTTACATCCATTATTGTCATAAAATTGTTAAAAAAAATTTTTTATAGCATTGTAGCAATAGTAAAATTAATTTGATTTTGAACCTAAAACAAAAAACAAAATCAATCGGGAATTTTGTTCAAGCCCGAAATAATCATAATGGCCGTATAACACTAAATGATCTGTTTTGCATGTTGTAGATATCAGGATACCATCGATATATCTTATTTAATCTATTATTAAATATTATTATTTTTCCCTCAGTGTAGCCTTGTCATATGGGACATTTGCTTTGTGCTTTGTGGAAAGGGCTGCCATAAAATTCCACCATAAAAATAAAAATTAAACCACTAAACGCAGTCGGAACGCGACCGCCTTGAGTCCAGACGCTGACTTTTAAGTTTCGACCCCCCACCCCACGGCGTATTGATTTGACTTTGAGCTGGCTCGACAGTTCGTGAATCGACCCCAAGGGCAGGACCTTAACGTTCGGAGAAGATAAGGGTGGAGTGTGCGTTGGAGTGCCCCTAATGATATTCAATAATAATACATGCACATAAAACCCACTTGCGACCCATCGCCCGAAAGTCGTCAACATTTCAGACATGCTCCGGCTGTGCCTTCAGAATTTAATGTGCTTATAATGCCGCCCGCTGACTCTTGGCCATAAACAGATGCAGTCCTCACTCCCGGATAATCCCCATTCCCATGCCCATGCCCATCCCAATCCCGATCCCGGTTCCAATTCGAATCGGATACGGCACACACGCAGCCAAACTCACGTAATTGCGAGCGCAGCACCCTCGACACATTTTTAACAGCAAATGATGTCAATTTCCATGCCGCCAAGGGCAGGAAAATTCCCCAGATGAGGTCTGAAAATTCTGAACGCGTTTTGTTACTCTATCGAAAATTGAACTTAATTGGTGCGTGAAGTGTGCACTGAGTGGATTTGATGGCTGCCAGGCAACTATTGTAGTATAGCTGCAAATTTGTCTGCAGCCGCGTTCCTTTCCGCCCCCATCTGAAACCCATCCATCCACCCTGCCTCATTATAATTTGCCAGTCAACAGGCAAAGGTAGCGATCAAATGGGACAGGCGCCGCGACACACGAGGGCAGAATTTAAAGATGGCATGGGGA